TGGGGCAGACTGGAGGGGAGACAGAGGGGGGAGACTGGGGCAGACTGGAGGAGAGACAGAGGGGGGAGACTGGGGCAGACTGGAGGAGATGCAGAGGGGGGAGACTGGGGCAGACTGGAGGAGAGGCAGAGGGGGGAGTTATATCAGTTCCATCATGTGTTTATGTGCAGCCTGGCACTTTGGGTGAACACAGACTCAATTACAGAGAGATACACACCTTTCCAAACTGGTCAAAATACTGCTTGACGTCCTCAATCGTAGTGTTCACTGATAAGCCGCCTACGAAGATCTTCTTTGTCCGAGTCACCATCTGAGCATGAGAGAGAAAGAGTGTCCATGAGGCAGATGCAGACACACACAGTTTCCTTTGTGCCTCTCCGGAGGCCAGGCTGTTGTGCTGAGAACCTGGTCAACACCTTGCACAGGTGACCAGGTGAGCATTAGTAATGGAAGGAGGCTATTGATAGCAGACTGTGACTGTAGCTATAGGGTAACCAGGATACCCATTTAAATTATATATACAGCCATAAAACAGCAAATATAATATTACTAGTTGTGAAACGTCTGATTATATTTAAAAACAATCATAGGGTAAGCACCTGCACAGGAAACAGGACAGTCCCTTAAAATCCAGCAAGGGGATCAGGGACCTGAATTCTAAACAGTCTTACGACACTCTGTACTCTCAGTGGAGGGATTTCATCTCTTAAGTTAGCTACACTCTGAAAGTCAGCTTACATTTTCACACACTGGCCTTCTCCCAGGTGAGACCCAGGACAGAGAGAGGAGAGAGAGGAGAGAGAGGCAGGAGTGACAATTGACCTACCTTGGGCTGCGCTCTGCGGGGGAATGCAACTTTTGGGTCGATCTGTAAGAGACAGAGGCGAGAGACTGAGAAATAGAGAGAGCAGCTCTGGATAAAGTCAGGCTCTGACTCACTCAGACACTTAAACTCCTGCTAAACTCTATTTTATCAGGTCTTCTGAGGAAGACCTACATCCCTGCATCAGAGCTGCATCTCCAGGCCAGAGCCAGAGGCGTTTCCACAGACATCGTCACACCAGGACAAGGGGTAGGACAGTAGGAATGCGGGTCAGTCCAGCCCACACGTCCTCGGCTCCGACCAACCCAGCCTGGAGTATCCTACTCCCAGCTGGAGCAATCTGCTCCAGCCCAGTCGCACCAGTCACGCTCAGCCTGGGCGTCACAAGAATACTTCCACTGGTCACAATGCACTTGGAAGGACTTTGTGTTGCTCACTGTGGTAAACACTGCTCCTCCGTGATCGTAGCCTAGTGTTTAGGAGTGTGTTAATTTCACAGGTTGACACACTGAACAGCAGGGCACACTGCTTGAACAGCGCTGCCAGGAGGAGACGACAGTTCAGTGTCACACTACGGTGAAGCACGGAGCTGCGAGGTCATGAGGGGGTTAAAGGCGGCCGAGGCTGCTCCAGCAGCAGACCTGCATCTCCAGGGAGATGAGGTTCGGAGGAGCTGTCAGGCCCATCTGCGACAGCCACGCGGCGGCTGGGGGGCAGGCAGAGTTACACACACAGCCCTCAGGGCCCGGACACCCACCCCCTGGGCTACTACCAGCCACTGGGCAGGGAGCACGCTGGAGCTCCTCACTGCCCC